CTCCAAAATTGTATTAATCTCATGGATAGAAGCACCTTTCGCATTAACTGGAGGGTTCCTACGCTGTCATTGCCCTTCCTTAGGTCCTTCTCTATCGCGGTCCCTCCTCTATCATGGAGACAGCTCCCGACAGGAGGTTGCCTCTTCACGCCTAGGCCCGTGATCTTGCCTTGGCGGGGGCATGTCCCTAGGAGGGTGAACATTTCTTTGGTTACTTTGAGCGTTCATTTGTCCAAGATGTTGGGCTATATCCCTACAATCCACTGTGTTATGAATATAAGAATGATGGTAACTTCAATATTGAGGGGTGTTCGGTCTATTTCTAGGTGCTGAACCCCGTCCTCGTCCTCTTTCTCTTTGGGGGGCCCTTTGTCCAAATTCAAGTCTGCCGCACGATTTCAGGTGCCACATCCTTATAAGCTAATGCTAGCACAACATTCAATGTAGCTGTGGCAAGTGATTGTCCGGAGTTGGGATTAATCTCATTCCTGGACTGGTTCCATTGATGGTTCATTAAATGAGAGGTTGGTCATTTTCCACGTTGCCTTTGTGGAGGTGGGAGGCCCTTGCTAGCTCTATTTCGATGATTAATCAATTTCTCGTTGATGATCTCACGCCTCATCATTTTCAGTAAGGCATCGTAGCTATCGAGGTCCTTATTTTGCACATCCCTCGAAAATCGTGTGTTCATGTTCAAACCACCCCGTAATGCGGAAAGCACCTCTCGGTCAGTGACTTGAATGCAATATGTCATTTCTATCAATAAAGCGGGCTAGAAAACTTTTCAACGTTTCTCCAAACTACCGCCTCATGTCCTGGAGGCATTGGATGTGGCTTCTTCCTCTTTGCTTACAGCAAACCCTTTCAGGAACGTACTCTTAAATTCTGGCCAGCTTCGGATACTCGCTGGAGGCAGCCTAGTATACCAAATTTCCAGAGCTCCACTCAGAGTCAAGTAGAAAGCTCAGCATTTGACGGAGGGGGTGGCGCCTCTTAGACTTATATGCGTTTTGTAACTATTCAAGTGTTTGGCCAGGTCGCCCCTTCCGTCATACTTTGTTATTTTTGGTGGCACATAATGACTTGGTCATTGTACAAAACCTAGGGTTAGAGGTATATCTCTATCCCCCACAAGAATTTAGGGTATTTACTAATTGGTCTAAAATATACAATCTTCTTTCGAACGATTTAACCCACATAAATGAGAATGCATGAAATACAATAGTAAATACACAAGAAAATAAACATTTTAACATTAAAAAACAAATATTAAAATTAATTAAGGTATGTTAAGTAATAAGTTTATACACTTATTAGGGGCCTAAAATAGCGATATTTGATTGTTCTTTTGACAAAATATATCTTAAATTATTTTTTTATGTTATATAGGTAAAATTCAAAAGTTGAATGAGAAATTGAAAGAAAGAAACGAAAATTAGTGAAAATGGTGAAGTTTAAAGTTTGAAGACCAAATTGAAAATATTCAATAGTTGATTCGGACCACAATGAGATATTTTGAAGATTACTAGGAGACAATTGGATGTAATTAGAAGTAACAAATGAATGGAATATGATCAAAATATCATCAAAATCAACTTTCAATTGTACAAGTTATATTCCAAATTTTTAGTCAAAGATTGAGACTTATTTTTGGCACAGTAAACGTTCGAATTGGAAAAATTCTATTTATAGCAAAATTTTAGCTCTTTGAGATAGCTTTTCAAAACACTTTGAATTACCTTAATCGGATAACGAGAGAGAAGATTATGATCAAAACATCGACTGCTGTGAAGAGATAAAAACATGCGCGCACGAATGCAACTTTCACTATTCGATTGTAACTCTTTTGAAAATCAATTTGGACATGATTTTCAATCATTATTTATTATCATCAAATGAGGAAAATTCATAATTTTTGTGAGAGAATTGAAGTGGACTTGTAAGAATTCAATTATTCAAACTTAATTTTTAGGGAAAGAAGAGAAGGCGGAAGTGTATATTCATCAAGAAATCATTGAAGAGATTCAAGATTTATTTTCATCTTTTCAATTTATTAAAAATTCGGATTATATATTTTTACTTAAATATAATTTCTTGTAATTTCGATATGTTAAGATAGTTTTATGTATTACTAGGATGAGATAAATTCTTGTTATGATATTTTTAATTAATTACTTTGATTTATTTTGGTTTGATTTGTGGATGTTATTATTGTTTTCATCGTTCTTTTTCAATTGATTGATCACCAATTGAATTGTTAGTAGATTTTATTATTATCGAGATAGATAATAGGATTTAAGCACAATATAATAAATATTATAATGTTCGATAGAGGATAGAGATATATATTTATGTTTTATATGATTTCGATCGCCATTGAAAGAGACTTTCAATTAAATTAGAAACATTGATCAATATGAACGACTTCACATTGTCACTTTAATTGTTACAATAAAAATGTAATAATAAGGGGGATTCAATATTTTATTAATGTATCTCACATATTTAAAATCATGATAACTTGTTTAATTTATAATTTAGGGATTAGTATAGAAAAATCACGATAACTTGTTTGCTATTCGATTAAAGTTGCAATTAAATTGAACTCGGTCAAGCACATAGTACTTGTGGATTCGACACTCTATTAATCATTTATCATTATATTACTTAAACACAATCCTATGCACTTGCGAATTTTTAAATGATTAAGTTTTATCTCAACACAATAACTTAGCCCAATTTATATATATGATAAAAAAGAAGAAAAATTAGAGAAATACATTGCAAATTTTTAGAAGAATAATGGGTAAAATATAACGGAAAATGTAAATCATTCCCTTGGTTGGATTCTTGAAATGAGTTTTGGATTGGTGTTGATTTTCCCCAAAAATCTCTCCAATATCTTTGATTTCTTCTCCTTCTTGTGCTCTAGATTTTTCCCCATTTTATCCCAAAAGTGTAAAAAAATGAAAAGATCAAGAGTGGAATGAGGATATCTATTAAAAACCATTTTTATAACTTTTAAAACCTTAAAAAGGAACCAAGAAAATTGCAAAAAGGGCCCAACAATTCTAAACAGAAAACAAAATGGGCCCCTGCCCAAAAGCTGGCGATTGCCCACTCTGTGAAAGGCATTTGTTCTCGGGTTGGTTAAGGGTCACGTCACTCCCCCGCGCACGCGGCCGCCTCAATCTGTGGTTTTTGCGTGAAGTCCTCCTATATTTGTATGCTTGGTCACTCGACTTTAATCTTACACATTTTGATGGTTGAAAATTGATTTGTGATCATCTTTTGACTAAATTTGATTCAATTAACGTCTTCCTTTAACCAATTGACTCCGATCACTCTCAAATCTTCATCGTGAGGTTCGGCACAACTTTTAAGTATTTACATTTTAGTCCCCGAGCTTTGGATCCCTTACAATTTAGCCATTTCTCCAAATTTGTCAACTTTTGCTTATTTTCTTCGATCTCACCAACTTA